AGACTAAGTAGGCATGACAGGAGTATGGGGGCTAAATGTAATGACAGGAACTTCATAACACATTCTTCATAAAAGTGACAGGAAAAGCAAAGGAGGCGAACAGCGCTCTGCCAAAAGCATCTATTCAAATGCTGAAACATTGAAGGATAATTTTTGGTAGGACATGCACGGCTAAACTGCTGGCTTAAAAAAAGAAGGATAATTGAGAATTACAGGAAGAATGGTATTAAAGACTGGAGATCATGAACACAAAACAGTGAAGATTAAGCAATCACAGTCTAAGTTGCAACAGCATATATTAAGTACTCTCTAGAGGTACTTATTTGATTAAAGTACTTTTAAAACAATCTCAGAAATTAGGAAGAATTTAAAATCCTGTACTTCAGTTCCTTTTTGTCAGTTCTGAGATTAAATATACACACATTGTAAATATTTAAAGCATAACTTTATATTCATCATAATGTATGCCAAACCGCGCCCTTTGGATTATTCCTTTCAGTGACCACCTCATTAATCCAGAATCTCTCTTCAAATCCTTCAGTAACAGGGGTGGTGTCAGAAGAGAGTATGAGCTTAAAATAAAGGGAGATTTGGCCAGGCATCTTCAGCCATACATTGAGTTCCTACCTTCTCAGATGAAAACTAGGGAAGGTGTGTCTTGGATTCCACTAGGACACGCCAGGACTCTGATATGCAGTACTAATAAATCTGCTGTAGGGCTAAGACACTGCATGAGCTTTCTGCAAGCGTCAGTGGCCAGCTCGCCTTAGATCCAAAGTAACAGTGTAGAAAACAGCAAAGGCTTTGTTCAGAGATGACCATCTAAATGCAAGGTCAGGATGGGAAAAAAGATTACATGGAGCTGGAAGGTTTCACTGGAGCAAACATGTTGCTTGTGTTGAGAGTATTCTGTTTAGGAACCAAGTTACTTTCTGCCAGCTGGCATTTTCCAACACTTTCTTTAATCAAAGCATGACCAAGTTTGCTGTTACATGAAGCCTAGGGTATATTGTGTAGGGAAATACTGCACTTAATGAAGTGCTGGTAGTTATATCTGGAAACATCTAAGGAAAGTGTAACTGTTTGAGGTCTAGAATCCATTTGTCATGGATTCATGACAAATGCCCACCTGGCAACTAAGCACTACATCACTTCTCAGGCACTCACCCCCAGCAGGATGTGGGTGAGAACTGGAAGGGTAAAAGTAGGAAAACTTTTGGGTTGAGGTAAAGACATTTAAATAAGTAAAGGAGAAGCCATGCACACAAGCAAAGCAAAAGAAGAAACTCATTCACCCCTTCCCATAGGCAGGTGGGTGTTCAGCCATCTCCAGGAAAGCTGAGCTTAATCATGCTTAGTGGTGACTTGGGAAGACAAACAACATCACTTCAAGTGTCCCACTCCCTTTTTCTTCCCCCAGCTTTATATACTGAGCATGGTGCCATATGGTCTGGAATATCCCTTTGGTCAGTGGGGGACAGCTGCCCCAGCTGTGTCCTCTCCCAATTCCTCATGTACGCCCAGTCTCCTGTCTGGTGGGATGGGGTGAGGAGCACATAAGGCCTTGACCCTGGGCAAGCCCTGAGCAGCAACAACCAAAACATCCTGGTGTTATCCTTTCCATCACAAAACCAAAATGTAGCCCCATATCAGCTACTCTGAAGATAAACTCTACCCCAGCCAAAACTAGTACACCATTGCTAATTTCAAACCTATTTACATGACAAAAAAAATCCCCAGTTGTGTTTTGTGCTCTCTGCACTAAGCAGAAAATTTGGCCCCTGAACTGCAGATTTTACAAAGATAGTCTGTGTGTTGATAGAAGAAAACCCTCAAATGAGCAAAATGTAAGGTTTTATGTAGAATGAAGCCTTTACAGCAGCTTGTTGTATTATGGAGCTTTGTAACACATAATTTTCACCTTGAGAGGTACAAAAGTCTGTAGGAATTTCCTTTCAGACATTGAGTTCTGAACAAGCAGGGTAGTTTTTTGTGGCCAGATATTCAGGACAAGAGTTAACGGGTAGATCCACATCCAGATGCTTCTCCTATGCGAGCAAGTGCATGAGGTTTTGACATTGGTTAGTGACCCTGCTCCAGACACCATCCCCCAAATCCCCAGCAATAAGGCAACTGCATGGTTTAGGGGATTGGTAATCGGATACCTCACCTCCAGGTCATCCTAGGTCTCTGGTTCAAGAGCAGCAAGGTTTTGTAATGACTTAAATGCTGTTGCATATTTATTTGGAGTCATACATGGAGAAGTGAACATATGATTTCTATGTGACAAGCAGTAGGTGTCCACATACAGACACAAACATTGTGACAGTTGCCAGCCTGTTTGAAACATTTGAATGACTAAATATCAGTCTAACAGAGATTGATTAATTCCCTAATGACAGATTTGTGTTTTGTTTTAATACTGCCTGTATAGTAGAAGCATCATGGTTTATATTTATAAATTTTTATATTATGTACTTCTTTTGCTTTTATATATACTTATATTTTTATATATAAATTTATATTTACTTACATTTTGTAACTCAGTGGGACTAAAGCCTTTGTTTAACCCTCCATCTTTTTCTCTCCAGGTTGTAAAAGACTTTGAAAAGTGGTTTTGAATAGTACTGGAGGCAATCCAAAGCCAAATTTAATTTGAATTTTCTGTCTTAGCTGATACAAATTCTACAAGAGTGAAAATATGTTCTGTAGGTCTTCTCAGGCACTTTACTACATAGGAGGAACTGTAAATGCAGAATTTGAAAGTTCAGCACATCCTTAACAAGGATACAACTGAAATAAAACATTTCCAAGGCCAGTATTAATCTAATACTTCTGGAGTCTGACTGCATGGCCTGTGCATGAGAAGAGAAAAGGTAGACGATGCTCGCTGTTGAGGAATCAGGGCAGGCAGGTACAATGGTCAAACAGAAACATGACGCCTTCTCCAATCTGCTGTCATTGGTGGCTGCGGCAAAGAGAGGAGCTGGCTGGCATGAACACCCTGTCCATTGGCCCGTACTGCCTCCCAGTGGGCATCAGCTCCTTCTCTTTCGGGATAAAACAAACGCTGGGGGGTTTAAAATTCCTGGTACAGAAGCCATTGTCCTCGGATAGCTAATGGGGGAGTTCACTGACAGTGAGACTTCAGCTATCTAAAACTAAAGCGACAAAACTCTTGCTTATGGCTTCGTGCACAACATACACCTCCATCTGAAAAAAAAAAAAAAACCCCAAACCCAAATCTCGTTTCAGCAGGCAGCCTTACAAATGTGAGTTGTCATCATATCAACTTGCATGCAGAGGGCTCTGTCCCCACCACTCAGCTCTGAGGAGCAGCAGCAGAGCAGTATCACATCCCATGGCTGTACCCTCCATGCAGTGCTTTATCTAACTTTATCTTTCTTCTCGCTTTTCTTGAGTGTGCTGAGAGCAACAGCACAGGATATTAAAAAGGGATGACAAAAATGAAGAATGAAACAACATGAGGAAAGAGCACTGTTTGCTGCAGTAAGGTCTCCACTAAAGATACAGGAAGAGTTGGAGAGATACCTCTATACTCCTTTGACAGCCTACCGACCTTCCCAGTTTACAGCCCCAACTTGCCTTTTCCTTCTGGGCTCAGCAAGCCAGGGACTCTGTTCAGAGCTAGGCACCTCAACTCTGTTTCCCGTCCAAAAAACCCTAACAGTCCCTCCCAGCTCTGTGCAGATGTTGCTATCTACCTGAAAACAGTCACCTAAATCTTTGTGTTGGGATATTTATTTGGTTGCTGCAGCTGCATACAGGGCTTTCAGGAAAACAGCTCTGTGCTCCTGTGGAAGTCACAGGGCTGTGCAAACACTTGTAAGGATTAGAGCTGTTGCTCATGCTTTAAACACTGCATTTGTCTACATCTCATACCTTGATCTTACAGAATGAGAAAGAAGAGAAAAAAAAAAAAGACATCAAACAGTGCTATAGCACAAGTTATATGAATAAATAAATACTTCTGTGGCTAGGTGTGTCCAACTACAAAGGTCACTTAGGTGTGGGCAGTTTTTTCCTCCTAAGTTATCCTGTTCAAGGTGTAATATCCTGTTTTGTTTCTGCAGTCCTTATCATTGAAAGTTCAAGATCCATGGATCTGATACCCTCCCAGTGCACATAAGAAATAGAATGGAAAAACATCGGAGCAAGGGGATAGTACTGAATACACAGAAAAAAAAACAAAAGTAGTATTACATTGGAAGTACTGTTTTTGCATCACTCTGGTTTTTGGAGTACTTACATTACCAGGTTTCTCTGTGTGTGTGTGCACGTGTGGCATTCCTTCAAAGGAGGAAATAGGATGCCTAACTTTCAGTGCAGAAAATTAGTAACAAAATAACACACAAGCTGTGGGGCTGATAGCATCTCTGTAATCTTGTACTTAATCTGCTATCCCCAAGAAAAATCTGTTGACTTTCCAGTTCTACTCTGCCCAGGCTGCACACAATTAATGGGCCTGCGTTACCCTACGCCTATATGACAACCCCTGAAGTTAAACGTTTGCACCTTTAATTTTACAAATCGGTGCCCATGCAGCGCTGCTCACCCAACCGGGAAAGCCGAAACCCCACTCGAGGTGTCCCGCTGCTCCCCCTTTCCCGGAGGGCAGCAGGCGCGGCTGGCCGCGGTCCGGGCGGGAGCAGGTGCACGGGAGCGCACGCCCGGCGCTGAGCCGGGGCGGGGGCAGGAGCGAGCGGCGGCCCGGGGCGAGGCGCTCCCGCCCCGGTGCGGGGCGGCCACGTGGAACCGCGCGGCTCCCGCGGCGGCCACTTCCTGCTCCGCATCACCCCGGCCGCTGCTGCCGGCGGGGAGGCAGGCGTGCAGCCCGCAGCCTACCGGGGCGGCGCGGGGGTGGGAGAAAAAAAGAGGGGGGAGGAAGAAAAAAAAAAAAAAAAAAGGGCGGAAGGCGGCCGGTGCGCGGGGCCGGGCGCTGCGTGCTCGGCGGCGGGAGGCAGAGGGCGGGCGGGAGGATGCGGCTGAAGCTGGGCTTCCTGCTGCGCGCCGTGCTGCTGGCGGGCAGCTTCTTGGGGCTGCTGCTGCTCTGGTCCTCGCTGTCGCCCCGCGCCGAGGAGCCGGATCTCCCGGGACGGACGCGGGTGAGTGCGCGGCCGCGCCGGGCGCCGGGGCGGGCGCGACGGAGCGGGTGGCGGGGCCGCCGCCC